TGGGGTTGAGGTGGGTCGTAATGTGGCAGAGAGAGAGAGAGAGAGAGAGAGAGAGAGAGAGTAGGACATGACGAAGTCAGTGTGTGTACATAACGTGTTTCTCTAATCCAAGCCTCGCTTCTTGTGCGAAGTGCAAAAGAGCAGGAAGAGGAAGAGGAGGAGAGACTGGGAGGAGTTTGTACCTACAAATACTACTGAGGCTCTTCCTTTCGGGCTTCCACTCCATCCTCTGAATATATTTATTGCTTTGTTTTGGTGAAATACTTTGTTGTCTGTGATGAGTTTCTTCTAGGGGATAAAATTAGGAATATTTATGTGAATTCAAATCCCATAGAATAGAATAACGGCGCCTGGAGTTGCTCCACTCCAGTCTTTCCTCATTCGTGTCTGCGTCCGTTGGTCCTATTGAAAGAAATGTGGATATATATGACTCTTATTAGTTTGCTAGTCATGTTATTATTCAACGGTCCAACTCATTTCTCAATTATAGATGCATCTTTTGTGCCAAAGAAATCTCCAAATTTTTTTTTTAAATGATTTTTGCAGCTAATTGAAGGAGTGGTGTTGTGGGTGGGAGGAATAATGAGTTAGATTAAAAAAACAAATCAGAAGCGAAGGGCGTCAACGTCGACGCTTCTTTCGTCTTCTATTTGAGAGCATCCCCAAAATTTAGAAACTTTTGAAATCCCTCTCCTTGGGTTTTCTCTGCGTTGCTTCGTCGTTCCAGAAACGCAGAGGGAGAGAGAGCTCCGGCGTGATGGGTGCTACTTCTTCTTCATCGGTTTCCGAGAGATCCATTCATCAATTCACCGTCAAGGTGGATCGCTTCATTATCTTTTGTTGTATGTCGAAATTTGGCTGGAAAAGATTATTTCTTCTCTGAATTTGGGATGGTTTTGGGAAATCAGGACAGCTCCGGCAAGGACTTCGGCCTGAGTAATTATCAAGGGAAGGTCCTTCTCGTCGTCAATGTCGCTTCCAAATGGTCCGTCTCCTTTCTTCCTATCGAGATTCATTCTCTTGTTTTTATTTCTCCTATGTAGGTTATGGGATTAGTAGAGTGGTTAATCTATATGGTGTGGTTTGCGATTGATAAAAACAGCGGTTTCACCGAATCCAATTATACACAGCTCACCCAACTCTACTGCAGATACAAGGACAGAGGTCTCTTCCCTCCTCCTCTTTTTGTTCCCTTGAGAGTTTTG